CCTGACAACTGGGGGCGTTGTTACTGTGACATCATTTGAGGTACACATTCTTCAGTTAAGGGGTTTTTTTGTTGAAAGTGTGAACCTAGAATATGGTTATCGAAAACTTTCGTGCAAAAATTGCTCATTGACTTACTGTCAACAATGAACCATGCACCAACAACAACATTTACGACAGCAAAATTTTTTGCACCTTTTGGTGCTGAAAGGGCTGTAACATCGAGGTTCCTATACCTTGAGTGACATCACTCTTTTGCTCATGAATATGAAAATTGTAATTAGCATAAAAAGTGAAACCTAAATTGATGAAGTACTCCCAGTCTGAAAATGACGCCACTTTAAACTTTAGCAAATTTGGATCCTCCCTTCAAAGACCGAAAGTCGCTCATCATCGTGATCTCCCTCATCCAACGTTTTTTGTCCGGGTTGGAAATGAAACCAGATGATTTTCACACGATCATCACCGGTCGATAGCTTAAGCTGGCCCGTGTAATGAGGCCAAATGCCCCCGACCAACAACTCGCTATTGACCTGGCCACGGGTCTCTTTCTCCGTGGTCGTAACCTAATCAAAGCTCTGCCTCCGTGATCTTGGCTCTAGGGCGAGAATTTATAGAACTTGCCTCCAAGCTTTCCGTTTTTGTGTAAAAAGCTCGAGGTATTAGGCTTCACCAAAGTTGCTTTCTGTAATCTTTTGAAACGATGTTGCGCTTTTTAATTATCGCATGTAAGAGTGTCATACTGTTTCCTCGTTCCCAGAGGCTATGCTTAGGTCCTAAGCATTCTCTTCTCTTTCTAATCCAGCTAACGACTGCAAGATTAACTCTGGATCATGGGGCTACGTCTTAATTCAAAGGGGGGAAACTGAGATATCCATGTGTAATCTGATCTGACAACGGATGTAACAATCGCATTTTCGACCCCAATCTTCTCTTTAATTTGGGATAGTATTTTGGAGAGAGTAAATTTCCCTGCCTGATTTTCCAGCAATGAATTCAAACACTCTTACCAGTTACCACTCACTGTCGTCATGAGAGTGCATGATAAGACTCCATTTTCTGGCTGCTCATTTGAAGTACCCCATTATTCCTCAAAAAGCAAAATCCCAGGTAGAAAAAAATCAAACCATATCTGGCTACTACCTCGCAACTTTTGGGTCTACATGTACAAGTCTATATTCAATGACGGAAATTTGAAAAAATAAATCAATATTTTCTAGCTCCAATGTTTTTTGAAATCAGGTTTACAAGGAGGCTCAATGTACAATTAAAGTTGCATTTAAATATCCGTTAGTGGTCATTGCTGAAACCAAGGGGTGACTGGAGTTTAGGGTGCGAGTTCCTATAACAGATGAAACATCCACCTTTAACTATTTACTTTTCTCAAGTTTCAACATTGCAAAAAATAAGTAAAACTTGTCGTACTAGTTAGAATTTCTTAATCAGATTTACACTTTACAGTAGTTGGAAACTATTTTTTTTTAATATTTTGGAGTGGAGTGGTTTTCAATTTTTTTTTAAAATTGATTGTGACAATATAAAAATTCTGTTGACATGTTTTAATTTAAAGGGAAAATACAACATTTGCAAACATCAAAAAATAAAACTACCAAATCATTTTGAAATACCTTGCTGGACTGTTAGTGAATGACAGTGTAAAGCATCCTGTAAAATCATGGCACCTGGTATACTGTCATTTTCAAGAAAAGTGGTATTTTTGTATCAATTTGCAACGCTGATCGGCCGATCAGCGTTGGAAAAAAATGGGGTTTTTTTCAAATACTGGCCCCAATTGACCATCGCACTTGTTTGCAATCGATTACAAACCTATGAACGGGTACGAGCCAGCTAGACTGGTTCCCTGACCTTACAATTCCCCAATGTATGTAAACTGCTCTGTTTCTTCTTATATGGAGTCAGGGAACCAGACTACAGGAAAATGATTGTTTTTCTTGGTTTTTATAGCATTTTCGAACCCAAAACCTAAAAAAAAGTCAGTGTAACTATATTTGCTATATATTTCCAACCCCCCAATTCCATCCATTTCTGAAAATTACAGCAAAAGCAAATGATGTATATTCCCTTTAAGGTATGAAGCATATACATGTACATGAAGATCACTCGCATGACACAAGCAGGTACAAGTGATTCCTAGCTTTCAATCACTTCCTTCACATCCCCATCAATATCATCATCTCAAGGACAGACTGTTCAGCTGTAATTATGTGTCTTGGTTTTTATTGAGATTATTGTTATTTATTATCCACGGTCTCGGTCTCGCTCTCGGACCATATCGGTCTCGGTCTCGGTCCACCTTGAAGGGGCTGGTCTCGGTCTCGAAACTTCAGGTGTCGGTCTCGGACTATCCGGTCTCGACCACAACACTGGTGGTCACACCCAAAAGCCCCAATTTTGCGGATTTCGGCATAAGGAATCTTCCTTGGATTCGCGGCACCGTAAGAGAAGTATGCCCATCGGCAAATTGCAGTATAGCAAGTATAGAAGGCCACCAACATTCTGTCAATCAATGATTTCAGGATTTTCAGAAGAAGCTCTGTGGAGGAAGAAGACGCACGTTCCTCGCGTGAGAAATCCCAGGTAGGGCCATCTTGACAAGGTTAAGAAGCTTAAGTCTTGAAAAGACAGGAAGAAAGTAAAAAATCCAAGTTCTGAGAGTGAATGCCCGAATCCAATCAAGAATCAACCCAAAGCCGCGAAGTCGGCAACTGAAGAATGTCAGTGATTTGCCGGCGAACTGATACAAAAAGTAGATAGGTAATTATAAGAGTGTCGTGGCGGGGAGTACGTTTAGATGGACAGGTGTTTTTTTTTTTAGTGAAGAGGAACTATTTTGTAACGGCGGAAGAGGAAGTGAACGCGCAAGGATTAGTGGCTTCATCAAAATGTGAGTCAACACTTCAGATTTGCGGTTTCTTTTTTCCCTCTTTCTCTTGCCTTTCACAATGGAGCTTCTTTTCTCTTTTCTCTTTTTTCAGTTTCGGGATTTGCGGAGATTGGCCTGTGTGGCCGTTGGGGTGAATGGCAGAGAGCATCTCCGATCCGATTTGACGCGAGAGACTTCGGGTCGATCCCGCCGCCCGATTCCACGGCTGCAGCTGAAACTGGGAAAGTGAAGCAAACTAAATGCTATTATTATTATTTGATTATAATGGAGAAATTTCCAGGGCAAATATAATGTTTCCTTAAAAGAAACTGACGGTTTCTTTTATTTCCCCGTGGGGGGGGGGGGGGGACCGATTCGAGAGTTCTTTAACTAAACCTTTTCTCCTGCAAAGAAATTGACAGTTTTAAAGGTAACTCTGCCCCTGATCAAACAGACAGGGATGCCGTGGGTACATTTTAGGTATGCAACAAGAAAGAAGAACTAAGAAATACAACTTTAAAATCCACACTCCCACGTACACCCACTGGAATGTACACAACACGGAACTAAGACCTATTAACTGCTGAACATGTTCTTTAACTTCATTGGACGAATCCGAACGCGCGTGAGTTGTCACGTCCAATCACGGTGCGCGTCTGTACGCGGGTAAGCCATGACGCACTCTATTTATTTGGCACCCGAAGTTCCTAGCTCTTTGAACTAACCAGGCAAACTCCCGACCATTCCCCCGAAAAAAAAATCTACCTGGGTTCAATTCAAAATGTCAACACGGTGAATTGCCCAGCGGGGCGTCGGCTTTTCAGCGGAGCAAGAAGTTACTTCCCTCCCGCCGGTGGCTTTGCGCCCTAATCCGCCTCTTTGGATGACCGGGCAATCCGATTAACTCCGACTTCGTCAATCAAGCCAGATTTGCTGCTGGGCACGTGACTCCATTCCAGAGAGGCCCGTGCCCAACACCCTCTTTTTGGGGGGTAAGCAAGCCGTAAGCAAGCCCGTTGTTAACTCGTGATTTGCACTGCTATGTCCTAACGAACCTGCTTATCAAAGATGGGTAGTTAGTAAAATCTGTCATGCGAGCCAATATGGCCCATCAGGCCGGCGTTTATCTCCAGTTTCCTTGACATGTACATGAAACGACTGAGAATATTTCTATTCCCCCTGGATGGTATGCTAGTCCATCGCAGGTTACTCCCCATCTAATGCTGGTAGTGGTACCCGTTTATACTCCTTGGCCGGTGATGGAGAGGGGCAAGTAGAGGTGAAGTGGATTCGAACCCCTGACCCACTGACGTCAGTCACGAAACCTAACCACTAGGCCGCACTTCCCCCAAAGATGGGTACTGAGCCCAATTTTGTTCTGCTTACCGTTAGCGAGAAATCCCAGCTTTACTGCAATTCCGTGCTTACGCTTAGCATATTTAACGGGTGAGCGGGGAATATTTTGCATATCTCGTAACCAAGGATTCTGTGCTTATATACAGTGTAAGCACAGAATATAGCGATCGTTAGCGTAGAATTCTGTGGTCAGCTGATGCATGGGAATGTGGCCTGTATAGTTGAACCATGGAGGGTAAGAACACAACCATGGAGGTCCACGTTTCAACAGACCCAAATGTGACCCTTATACTAATTTTCACAATCTCGATAGGACGAGAGTGAAGGTTTGGTCCATGATACAGTTGGCATGAAGCTTCACTGGCAGTGGCTGTTTTGAATGAATGTTTATGATACGAATGGTATAACAATATCATGGAGGAATGGTATAACATCCCAACTCCCAAAAGTCTCTTGTGCAACCGCAGCCTCGCTTTCCGATCCAAAATGGCCAAAAAAATAATAAGGGTCGTGTTTCTTCAAAACTGATCGTTTTAAGCCAATAATAAACAATACACTTTCTTAATACCCAAAATAAAAAGCAAAATCGATAAAAAATTAAAGTCGGTTATAACAGTTTTCGATGTGTTTATTAATTTATTGCACTTTTTTTACAACTGCATAATTGTTTTTAAGCGATTGGTACAAAAGTTAACACAAGATTTATATTTGACTTTTGTAACAATAATTTTCCGAACGGTTTTAAAAATTGGAAAAAATATAAAGGCGTCATATTAAAAAAAATAATAGCCAAGAAAGCAGCGTCATATCTACGTAAGATATATCTACTGCCTTGCCTTTTATTATACTGCCAAACTTGGTAATTATTACAAAGGGCCAAGTTTTCACTTCGTATACAGCTTCTGTTTTAGCTTTCGGCAAAAATAGAACCCTTCATTGCTAGCTCTGTGATCTTGGAACTTTAACCAGGCATTCGTAGAGGGCGGCATCCATGTTGAATAGGCAGGCTTATTTCTACTGGCTTAATAAAAACTAATTCACAAGAGGGCGCTATTTACCATGAACGGTCGTCGTCACTCGAGCAGGCGGCAGTGGATGGAGTGGGGTCCGTGCCCACCTGAGGTCTTATTGAGTCAGTATATACAAATAATACACATTTGTCACGTGACAGTGGAATTTTGTGAAAAATTTAACTTCAACGTCTGCCAAATCAGCAGCAAACTTGAAGCTTGCAACTGAATTTAAATATACTTTTTTTGTTTTAACGTGCCGATCAGGCAATATCCTGCCTCTTTCAGTCTGCAATTTAAAAAAATAATAAAATACACTTCTTTGAAAGTCCTTGGTTTTTCAACTGGAATACAGAGCAGCAAAGTTCAAAAAAATATGTCTGACGCCTCATCACATGTCAGGATTGGCCCAAGCTTAATTTGCTCGCAATTATTTCCAACAGATCATAACCACCTGATGCACTCGTGATCTGGCCTCAGAAAAACATCTCGTATAATTATTTAGCCGAGAGCACCCTCTTGGTCCCACTGGCTGCCCTTGCCCGCGATCGACCACTGCATCAGCACTGCGTCGGCCCCGCCGGCCGAAATGACGCAAGAGTCGTCGGCCAGAAACCTGACTGCGGTCACGTGGGCACTGTGGCTCTTGACGTCATACGATGCGGCCTGCCATACAATTGAGACAACAACAAAATCAAATTGGAAATTGATAGTTTGCATTTCCAAAGATCTTGGATGCTGTAAGTTGGGTGCGAAATAGTCTGGTGCCTTTACCTCTTTCTGTAGTAACGAAATAGATTTTGGAAGTTACCCTCTTAAAGAGCCCTGGGAACGAGGTTGGGCTCTTTCATACCACCGTGGCCATGAAGGGACAAAGCTATGTAGCATCAGTTAACACAGTTACTCACTTTCAGCGATGTGCATGGGTGTCTGTAGAGGGACAGCCAGCCAGAGCTGTCCCCTGTCGCAAGCAGACTGCCGGTTCGCGAACGGTCCACCGAGTTTACGTCGATGTCATTTTCCCTTCCTGGCCATATCCCTGAACGGTCATCAGTTGAAAAATAAAGAAATGAAATGACACCAAGTGTAAACCATTACCCAACGAAGCTCATATAAGCATACGACATTCACACATTTTGACGATCACACATAATTCGTCGCATCACGCATAACCCTCACAAATTGAAGACAACCATTTTTAAAATGCCTATCGAACCTAATTGTACGGCAGATAGTTGAATTGTGCTTTTGATGATACAAGCATGGCATTTGACACACAGTCAGCCATTTTTAAAATGGCCGCCATTGCTTGTTATTTTACCAATAGTTTGTCAGATGACCAATCTGCGATGGCCCTACAGCCAAATATCTTTCTTACGACATACTCTGAAAGGCACAATTTTCCCAAATATTTCACCTATATCTGCCCCACTATAACCCCAGAAAACGATTGCAATTAGCCTTTTCGAGAATACTTACTACATTACTACATTTGTGTAATTACGGGAGTTGTTTAAGTGAATGTATCAATACAAGCCAGGAATCCATCTTCCTACAATTGTACCCGTCCTTTTATTACAAAATAAACCCTTTTTATGGGGTCGAGGTGAGCCCAGACTCAATTTAGCATCGATTGGACATTGTGCTTGTTATTACTAGCCATTCAACCGAATTCTCCACTCCAGGGTAAGGCAATGGAGAATGTCAAGAGTTTAAAAAATAGATAATGAACCGTTTTGTTCGATAAATAAGAGGTGTAAAAGGTCAAAGACAAAATAGAAAATTCAGTCGAGGAGTGGCTCACCTGAAACTGTGTATCCCAAAGCACACGTCTGAGTCTGCCAAACAATATCTCGCACGGCTTCGGCTTTTTCCTTTTTCATCTGAGTGACATCCCCTTATAGCCAAAAAACAAATTAATAATTTCACTTCAAATGGAGAAGACAGCCAAATCCCATCTGAGCCCAATTTTGATTCCATTTCAACTCTAACCGAGCACTAATCCCTTCGTCAATCTCGAGTTAGGTCCGCTATATGAGGACTGTGCCAAAAAAATTCAAAAGCTTAAAACTTAAACTTGAAGGCAAGAGATCAACATATCGAATTGAATCCAAAGCAAATTTGAATCCCACGTCAACTCTTACCAAATCTAACCCTTACATTAAACCCAGACCCAAACAGTCAAAACGTTTACCAAGTTAAATCCTTTGATATGAATAATATGAATATCCAATATGAATATTAATACAAATTGACCAATAATAATAATTACAAGAGGATTACCAGCAAAATTTGACAGAATTTATCTTCCCTCTTATAGAATTACAATCAGTTTAACGAAAAAAATATGAACTTACAGAATCTGAGATCGTAATCTCCCGACACACTCTGCAGGTAGCTACCGTCGGCTGACCAGTCAATCTGCTTTACGTAATTAGTGTGACCCTGCAGGCGGGGGAAAACATCACCATTCAAATACATAAAGAAATCAAATGTTCCCAACTTCAAATCTCGGTTACCCAGAAACATGAATAGTCTTTTTTTAAACGGTGCATCTGCATTTGTTGAAAAAACTTTGAAATTCCTGGCCAGAAGGATTATTCCCCACAAGGCACAGACGCAGCATATCAATTACGAACGCCATTTGTGATTGCGAGAAGATCGCCGTTGCTGATTATAGATTTGAAGACATTATAAACTTGGTGAATCCCTGATATCTGCCGGTAATGCGTCCCATTATAGGATTCAGTTCTTGACACCAGGGAAAACTTGAAATAGAATTTACTTATTTGAGGACGAGCAAAATGATAGGCCTGAATTTTTGTCTAGTGATCTACTTTGACTGGTACTTTTTGTGGAACGTTTTTTTATATTGATGAATGCAAGCTGATAGTGCGTTATGTACAAGAGGATCAGTCGGGCACCCAGCATTCTTTCTATTAAGAGTCGTTCTTTAAGTGTTTCTTTCTTCTTTCTTCTGAAAGTTGTGGAGAATGTGCAAACCTATTTCTGGAATTCAATTTATCTGCAGTGCCGGATAAGACTCAAAACACATGGGAAGGCGGACTTTTGAATTGCTTATTGAAAAAAAGTTTCATTCTTTGTTTTAGACTTTGAATGTTGGTAAAAGCCGGATGAAAAATAATGTTACCTGCAGAAACCCAGCTTTGCGGTAGACCTGACCGTCGTCCAGTACCGTGTAGAGATAGATCTTGTGGTCATGTGACCCAAGCACCAGCAGACCGCCATCTGCCGAAATAAATAGGAATGATGGGTAAACAGAAGGACGACCTCCAGAGTCAATGGTTGGGCAGCTCAACTTGCAACCAATCACAGCCAAGAGATACGTTTCTAACATTCACGTTGATTGTTTACGTGTCTAAAAATATCAATGCTGCAATGAGCTTCTTTTGCTTTGGTTAAAGAAGAATTGAAACAATTTAAAGGTATGATTTACAGAGGTCGAGCGTCTTTGTGATCTGTAGGTTTACAATCTTTACGAAGATTTGTATCGATTACCAAAGATTAATTTAAAAAAATAAATAAAGCTGTGTGCGTGTAAGAACGTGTATCAATGTCATTAAGCGTGTATTTTTTTAGGTGCATAACTAATTTTCATAACTAAGAAGCTTTTTTAAATCTGCAAATAATTTTAACTCAATGTTATTAATATCAATTTGAGTTTCGCAGGGTCTCTTCAATACACCCAATCTTTATTCAGCTGTGGGAACGCTTTCTGGAATGAGCACAATTTCGTCTTAGTTGTTTTTTTTTTTGTATTTTGTTCTTTTTCTGATAAAGAAATCACATTTCATTTCATTTTATTTCAAAGGTCACCATAAGGGTCATCCTCGTCCGCGAACTCACCAGGTGAAAAGTGGACCGCATCGAGTTGTTGACTGCCGGCCTGTACCGACGTGATATGCATGCCGTCATAGGCGTTCAGTACGGTAAACCGACCGACAGTAGTACCAACGGCGAGCACTGAAGCTGATGGATTGAAGGCGCAGGACACGCACGGTTTCTGGAGGAAATGGTAAGTACATGTGAATGCATTAAAATGTAGCAAGTTCCTTTTAAAGTCTTTGAATTTTTGGAGCAAAACAATCAATCTTTGATTGGTTTCCATAATAGGCCTACACGCCTTCCTTAAATGATATGTTTAAATGTTTAATGATATTGTTATTCGTAAAAGGTGTGAAAAATTTGTTCCAAAAAAGACTGCAAAGACTGTGTCTAGCAATTAAACACTTTTCTAAAGACGATCATCTTGCTTTCACTTTGTAAACATGTTTAAGTACTAAACATATTTGAAGTATTGATGGATAGTATTCAGCGTTTGAACATCAATATTTAGGATTTGGACACTTTCTTAATGTTTAAACATGTTTACAAAGTGATAGCAAGATTGGGTTTAATTGATAAACACTTTTTCTCAGTTTATGTTTCTCTTAATGTAATTGTTCGTTTATACAGCGCGTCTTTCCAAGTCTCTGCTTGAGTTAATTTTCTTTTTTTTCCGGGTGCGATTTAAGCGTCTTTACCTCCACTTCTGACTTCCACAGCAATTTGTGCGAGTCGGCCTGCCATAGCATGACGTACTTGTCGTAGCCTGCCGTAGCGAAGGCTTGCTCGTTGGGATGGGCAGCCACTGCCCACAACTCCTGACAGTGACTCTGTACGTTACCAAAGATATGGAAAGCAAAAGCTTAAATATTTGGGAAAAAAATATTCTGTCTATGAAAAGTATTTTGGATGAATGTTCACACCAAAATGGCCTAACGGTCTGAGACAATTAAAACAGCAAAACCACAAGAATTGTGTGCATCCCATATCCCACACCCTCGGATCCACCTAATGTAGCCGCAGCTGGAAGTTGAACCGAAGTTTGCAACATTGTCCCCAATTCGGCAGTGATTCGTAAAGCGGATCTCGCATTTCTATTCCCCTCTTCGTACCTTACCTGCAAAACATAGATGAATTTAGTTTGCAGCGATCCCTCCATGATGTGGTTGCGGGTGGTTCCCAGGATGATTCGCCCGTCGGGGCTGCCCGGGTTGAGAGGCACGATAGCGCGGATGCCACCAGCACTCTCCGTGAACTGAGAAGGGAAATCGTAAAACGGAAATTATACTTACGGGAAATGGTACCATTAGGATACACTCCCATAGACTTGTGCACACAAACATGCTGTGACAATTTGTAAAGTGAGTAACCCTATGGGTCAAAATCTATATCAGCGTACAATTTTAACAGGTCTGTAAACTGGCTTCATTATGTACAATAAATTGACAGGTTAAAACGGCTGCTACACAAGCTGTACCAGTATTATGGTCAACCTATCTATCAAACCCCTTCAACAGGCTTTGGTAGCTACACGGTGTAATCCATAGGGGTTTGTGGTAGTTGATGACCAGCCTGTACAAAAGCTATTAAGAGAGGTAGGGGTTAGGTTTTTTTGACAGTTTGTGATAGTTACAAGTTTATGACACTTAACTCAAGTGTCATAAACTTGTAGGCTAACTATCAATAACCCTAACCTAAAATTAAACCGACCCTCACCAAACTTTATAAATTTTGGTTGTGCATCACGAGGAATTGATTGAGGTTATTTGCGACGTTAAAATTATGCCTAGAAATAGGACTTGAAACATTAGGGAGACATTCAAAATAATGTCACCTTTTACCTACCTTGTCTCCTAAGGTACACATTTTAGCAAAACGTATCTCCCTGATGGGCCATTACGAGTATTGATGAAACGATAATCAAGTTTCCCCCCAAAAGTTTGAAATTCAAAACATCCCAGCTTACAAGTCTCTCGATGTTGGCCGATGAGTAGCCTTGCAGCGAGTCCCAGGCCTGTAGTCTCCTATCCAGTCCACCGCCGGACAACAAGGTACCGTCCTCCAGCATGCACAGTGCGAAGACGCTGCGCTCGTGCGCGTGCTGTATGCAGTGGCGGGCACGGAACACGTTCTCGTTGTCTGGAAAGGAGGTTATACATATAGTCACGTACAAAAAACGTTCCGAAGATTCTTATCTGAAGCCTAATTTTAGGAGTTTTACGCTGCAAATCCTGGTGTTTAACGTTTGAACAAATAAGCGCTTATTGCAATAGTTATATACGTTTGAACACATTATAAACGCTTTCTGCAATAGTTTATATACATTAATTTTAATGGGCGAGACGCCGCTTTCTTACTTAATGGGCGTACAACGCCTAGATTAAATTTCATTATTCAGATACAAATGAACCAAAAGCAAAGCCCGAAACAGTCGGTTTAAGTTTTGAAGCTTTTGTAACTGAAATGTTACTTTAAAGAAAACAAATGTTAAACATTCCGTTAACATTATAAACGCTTCGTGAACGGCGCTGCATCCTGACATTTAAACACGCTTAACTTGCTGACGCTAAGACGATGAACATCCAAGAACAACGCGGCCATGCCAGCAGGTCCAGTTATATGGAGCCTGATTTTAGAATGACCCCTGTTCTTTTTTAAATCGCAATTTACGTAATTACCTTTTTCCCAGACGGTGATGTTACCCGACGAATCACCCGTCAATACGTCACCAGTGTGGGAGAATTCCAGGCAAGTCACGTACGACGGCCGCTGGTTCTGCTGCATACCCCCCAAAAATGAGCTCGTTAAAAATCAAACTTAACCAGAAAATCCAAATATGTATTTTTCCTCTCGAAACATCGTAAAAATTGTCGGGGAGGCTTTATTTTCCGGTGTGTGCGAACAATCGATGTTGTCCAGTTTGCTTTACCATTGATTTCAGAGTATCTGGGTTTTTTTTTCTTCAAATAGTCCAGGGGGTGAAATAACCTCTGTCAGTTTTATTCTGTTCTGATAACACTGTAGTAATTAGTTTAAACCTTTAGTTTACTAATACCTAGCAAGTTATGCAGTCTCTCTATTTGCCTGTCATAGATTGGCTATACCAAAATCAGGACCAATTGGGAAGGAGGATACCCGAATAAGAACAACTAGCAAGGTGAACCACTATGCAGTGACTCACATCAAAGTTGCCGCTCTTCTTGTCGCGGACGATCTTCCGATGGACGATGCTCCAGAAGAACAGATGCTGTCTGCCGGCGGTGACTATGATGCTATCATCGAAGGGATGGAAGGAACCTACCACTACCGCATCCGCTCCAGCCGTCTGCAATCAACCGGTAATGGACATTTTTAATGCTGTCTCAAACGTTTCTGTCACTACCAGCCAGTCGCTGGTAATGACCATTTCGTCAGCGACACCATGAATTAACACCCAATTGCACTTGAGTGCGCGTATACGCGCGCGTATTTTACAGAGCCGAGTGATTTTCGTTTTCACGAAGTAACAATTGTACACTGTGGGCCGACTCGGTCATTTTCGTTTTCACGAAGTAACAGTTTGAAGGCTTTTTATCAAGATTTTCTGTAATCCTGCAAGAAAACGGATTAATTACAAAATATGTCATTAAGCGGTTTTCACGAAGTAACACTGAAGTAGACTTGGGTGTTACTTCGTGGTGTGGGCGACGATTTGTAATAACTTTCTGATCGCGAATATTTTGTCGTCAACCACATGGCAATGGAAGAGGGCATGCATTTTCTCTTGGCCGAGCCGCGCGAAGGCTTTGTAGGTCTGAGACTGTCTTCTCGGTGACGTTTCGACAAGTCTGGTGAGGTCGTCGTCATTTTTCAAACTTGAGTGCAGCTGGTACAAAAAAATAATGTTACGTAACAGTATAATTTACCATGTCTTGTACGTGTCGCAGTATTATACATTTAGGAGATACATTTAGCCTTCATTATGATAAAGCCGTGTATATTAATAGGAATATGATTTTCATTGTTATACCTGTGTGGAGGCTGCATCGTACAGCGTGTACTCTTTCGACTTGGCGAGCAGTGTATCATTGTTCCATTCCCACACGCTGAGCAAGTGATCGGTTCCTTGTTCAACGGCCAGTAACCAGTCACCGTTGTTCTGTATAGGAAGTTAGAGAAAACAAAGAAAAGGCTCAGTGAAAAAAAGTTATTTCAACTTATCTATTACACTGAAAAACTTGACTAATTTGCAAAAATGGTACGGCATTGCATAAAAGGTGGGGAAATTTGCTACGAGATTTGCTGACCGAAAAAAAACTTTTTACTTATAGCAAAACAGGATACCAGTCAAATAACTAGTGCGTGTATAACTCTATTGTGCTTGTGGGCGGTTACCAGTTGGTCTTTGCTGGCATACTTATGATGTACACTGTTTTATAAAGCTGCATGGCCCAGGCCTTACAACTGGTACATAAAATGGGCGGGGAATAACGGAAAATGGGGGTGGGGATCACTTACCTCATTGGAGAAGCTGAGGCAAGCGATTCCGGCATCGAAGAAATTCAGCCCCAAGATGGCGTGCGTGTGCAGTGTCTCCACCTCCCAAACGCGAATATGTGCCTGTTTGAGAATAGAAACCCAAAGCAATAATAACGAGGCCTATGTTTTTCAGTTGATGGTCCAACGCTTGCACGCTGGCCACTTTTAACAATGAAACGTTTTGAACTTTCAATTGTTCAAAATCAGTCGTATGTGACCAAATTACTTCAATCAAAATAATCTGGGAATATAAAAAAATATTTAGTATTCCGAAGAATCGATAACTTACCGAATGGCACATGGCAATATCTCGTGGCTAAAAAGAAAAACATGGAGATATAAAACAAAAATAATGATTACTTTAATGACGACACAATCAACTAGAGTTGCTCTACAAAGTAACTGACTTTCATGGGGAAAAACTCTGTTGGATCAAGGAAAAACTGTGTATTCACTCCCACGTCCATGAATGTTTACCCGCCGTTAAACGTATTGCACACTTTCTTGCTTTTGAAGTAGTTTCATAATTATACGAAGAAAGTTTCTCTGAATTTTAAACTGGCCTTTGTTGAAGTTTTCATGTGACTGATATATGATTAAGGATGTATAGTGCGTACCGTTGAATCCGGAAGCTGACCGGCGAGTTGCCCAGTTGCGACGTGCGTCCCATTTGGATGAACGGCCATACTGGAACACAATGAAAGTGAGAACAAATAAAATGCTAGTTTAATTAACAAAATCATCAGAGGAAATTCCTTTCAATCCATTGGAAAAAAACATGAGTGTACAGAATTCAGCGGAGACATCCTAAATCCAATATGTGTCGACGTTAATAAAGAAATGTAAATTTAAATCAAAAATTATATTCAGTATAGCATATGACGTTTCGGGATGGGGGGATGGGAAATTGATTTCGTTATATAAGAAGTAAAATTTGAAACCGTTGCATTTTCCCCATGTTTGGATCTTATCTGATATAAACAGGAAGCGAGGATCAGAAATGGATGTGCTGGAAGCATGGGCGTCGCGGGGGGGGGGGGCAAGGGGGGGGCAAAAAAAACAAAAAAATCAACATGCCATGTACATTTAACAACATGGGCAATCGGCAGGGGTGTCAAATGGGGGAAAGTGAACAAATGCCCCCCCCCCCCCCGCCCAACCTCGAAAAATGACAAATTGAGAATATGCTGCAAAAAGTACAAGAATTTTGAGAGCTTTGCCCCCTCTAGAAAAGAATCCTGGCGACGCCCATGACTGGAAGTGTAAAAACGCATACACTGGCCCATAGAAATTTACAATGATATTGTGCCGTGAGTTTTAGTTCTGATTCAGATTTAAGTAAATAGGCTGAAGAGGCTAGCTTAAAAGAAACAAATTCTTAAAGAAATTTCTTTGAAATGTTCAGGATTTATACCTGGTTATGTCTTCGTTGTGTCCCGTGTAGTGCCGCTGCCTGTCCGTGTCCTTGTCGTACAACACGCCCACGGCTCCCACGTAGTACAGCAGCTCGCCAGACGGTAGCACGAAGAGGTTATTACAGTGATCGAAACCTCGGTAGCCATAGCTGAGATTTGAGTCATGGGAAAAACAAGGTGAGTTTTGCTTGTTTGTCTGTATAAGTATTTGTGGGCACGTGTGGTCTAGCGGTAGAGCACAGGATTCATGATTGTGATGTTGTTGGTTCGAGCCCCGCCGTGGCCATGCGTGTTGCGCCCTTGAGTGATACGCTTTACCTCAATTACTCCTCTCAACCCAGGTGTTAAATGGGTACCGGCATTATTCAATGCTGGGAAGGTAACAGACTCGCTGTGGAGGAGGTGTGGCGATCCCTTCACAGCAGCATATGAGTCTGGCCCAATCGCTAATGAAAGAGAGATGGGCACTCCGTTCCTGTGAACATAGGTTCGTCCCCTTTACACTGAAAAATTGCCCGGGTTAATTTTACCCAAGAAAGGGTGAACACTGGAACTACCCAAACTTGGGTTGTTCTATAACCAATTGTTTGGGTTATAATTTATGTTAAATTCAACCAAGTTGTAGTCATACAAGAGTGAGTACAAGAGTGAGTAGCAGAAATTCTAACCCAAACAATTGGTTATAGAACAACCCAAGTTTGGGTAGTTCCAGTTTTTCACCCTTTCGTGGGTAAAATTAACCCAGGCAATTTTTCAGTGTACCTTTACCTTTTATGGTAATCGTGGTACTTAATTGTGATGGGTCCCAAATCATCACAAGTCCTCAAAAGTCAATCACACGTCATCTAGTCCCAAGTCAACTCACAAGTTATTCAACTAAACTGCCACTTGTGGCTGGACTTGTGTGTTTTTCGACTTGTGATTTGACTTATGACCGGACTTGTTATGTACTTACGATCCATCATAAATATCTCGACTACAACAGTATTGTCTGCCCCTTGTTTTGTGTGTGTTGTACCATCCATAGAAAAAGGTTAATTGGTGGAGTAGAAAAGTTCCACTCGTACCCCTTCCTATCCAAGAGCACTGGTGTCAGCTAAATTTCTTTGAGCTTTGATTGGATTGATTTTGACCCAGGGTCAACACTTCCGATTGCGCACAACGCGTGCGTGTGGAATGTGCATGCATTCAATAAGGCTGTTAGCTACCCACAATGCTTTACGTTTCCTTCAAAATATTTTGTGAGAAATGAGATCTTGATCTGCTTCCTTGGAAAGGGCAACTTATGTCAGTTAAACTTAAGTGCGCGTGAGTGAAATAGGCGAACCTGTTTGTGCTGTCAGGGGCTTTGGTATATATTTCAACTTTCTTTGGGCACTATTTCAAAACTGGAAAGAGGAATCTATTCAGATGGAAAATGTATTTTGACGTCTTGTTCTGCGGTTTGCAAAGGATACACCCAATCCAGCTTGAGGCGTTTGTTCAGTGCCAAGCCCACGCGGGTGGTGTTCCTCGGGTCCACGATGGAGGGCGGTAAGAACTGCCTGACCTGCCCGTGGATCTCCACCGTGACTGGCGCGGCCAGGCCCCGCTTCCTTCCCCGCTCCCTGGCCCCCGGGCCTGCTGCCTCCAACGAACGCTCCGGTGTGGAATCCTCGGAGTCCATCTCTATCCCCTGCTGCGCTGGTTTCCTCTGTCTTAGGTTATACCCCTTGTTGGGGTCGCCGATCTCCATTGGTACCTCGTCTTGCACGCGGGGGTTTTTCTGAGAGGGGTATTGGCGGTGGAGTTTACGCCGGTCGCTTGGCGGGTCCGACCCGTCGCTACTGCCGAATGCTCGGCGGGGCTTCATGGGTGGAAGCCGGGGGCTGTCTTCGAGTGACGAGCGGGGACTGTTGGACTCGTCGGCATTATAAACTGGTGGAAGAAACGTGGCAAAAAAACATATCGATTCAGGGAAAAAAAACAGAGTTGTAATCGAGTCAATCATCATGTTCAACCACGAGGCACTCACAATGTCGGATTACTGAGAAGGTATAACATCTGACAGAGGATGAACGAAGACAAAGAAAAATCTTCTTCATTGTACATTTGAATAGCTCGATATTGGATGACTTTTGACTTACTTTTGTTATTAGTGAAATGTATGGACTTGTAAAGACTAATCTTGATTGTGAGCTGCGATAAAATAAAATTGGATACAAGTTGTGTAATCAGACAGATCGTTGTCCCAATAAGGCTCTCAGTTAATTTTTCTCTTTCTGTCACCCCTTGGACATACTGATCCTATAAGCCTTGTCCAAAATGGCTTTTATGGCTTTGGGTATTTACAGCCGCCTGTCAATGTCCATGCCCGAAGCCGGACGTTCTAGCCAGACGGACTTGTGGGGTGATAGCATTGTGTTCCCATTATCCCCTTTTCTAAAGATTCCCTTCTGGGGTGATGTTTTTCCATTGTGTAAAAAGTGGGGTGATGTGTTCTGAAAGGAACATCACCCCACAAGGGTGGTCTGGTCAGAACGTAGTAACAGCCGCTTGGACGCTCCCTTAGCCTTGTCTAAAATGGCTTTTAAGGCTTCGGATATTTACAGCCGCCGGTCAATGCTACAAACCCAAGCCGTAGTCACAGCCGTTTCGGACGCTCACTTACCTTCCAGACTGCTCGCCACGCCGTTCCGTTGCAACCCCTTGGCCCTCCGGTTGACCTTCCGCCGGTGCATGCTGGCGTACTTGCCGTCCCGTTCCCGGACCGCCCCGTCGCTCAGGGACCCCTTGAAGCGCCCTCTGCCGTCGGCGTACTCGGTCTCGGTGCTGGAGTCGCTGAAGTTGGCCGTTCGTCGGATCGGCTCCAGGCCGCAGGCGATGAACTTGTCGTGGTTCTTGAAGTCGCGGAAAAGCTGCGTGAAACTCAGGACCTGACGATAAAAAGGACTGAAACTATACAACCCAAAATGATAACACAGAGAAGCGTTTCAATTTTGAGATTGTGTTGGGAAGAGATCTGTTTTTACTGTGTTCGGTACCGAAGGTTATACACTGCCATTGGTGGTTTACACTTTACGCGAACAAGCTAACGTTTGCCAACATTTGGCAACGTTTACACGAGTGGGACCGACTGTTTGCCGCCAACGTTAGCGAACGTTAAAGTAACAAAGGCGAACGGTCTTCCTGTGTCGTTCGTTATGTTTTCCAAAATGGCTGAAACACTATATGAACATATAATGATCCTATCGCGGATGAAATCTTCCGTTTTCAAAATCCTTAGGACGCTCATAATTAGGCCTACTGGCAACTTTCACTTCCAGTCACACTAATGTTTTTTTCCCGAGGATTTCAAAGACTGCTATCCAAATAGTGACACTTATAATAATGATTGACATACAGGGCGCCGCCATTATCGACAACAGTTTTTGATGACATTATCATTCCACTTGGCACGTTCACATGGTAGGATGCCTAGCACGCAAGCACGTTCGCATGACTTCAACAGATATTGGATAATTTTGAACAGAATGTCTATTTTTGCATGTTATTAGGCTTACATCAAAGCCACACTGTAAAAGAAAATGATTCTCCTTTTTCGCCAAATCTCTAATCAATATCGATCTCTATATAAGAGAAAGAGTTAAGAGACAAATTTATTTTAAGGCATAAAATTTGATGTATTCAAATTACCCATCAACAAGTAAAGAATAATTTTCGGTTCAATGATATACTTTTGCTTAAAACGGTTCTTTATGGTAATATGATAGATCAAAAGCCACATGCCTCGTGTAGAAATCGTGCCTTTATGAAAAACAAAACAATTAACTTGACTTTGTGACACCTGCTCTAGTCATGAATGACATTGTATTGATTTTCCGGACCAGCTGCCGGAGAATTAAGGTTCAAGGACTGAATTCTCATATCGCGCGTTTCACACAGCCACCATCGATCGCAGCACATTAACATTTCATACATTGCATCCTACATGAAATAAGCATGAATAATAGAAGGGACCGTATGGAAATAATGTATTAATTTTAGCCTATAGACTTGTACGTCATGTTAACAAGCGCTGGCTAAAATCAATAAGCTCAACAAACATTTATCATAATATATATGTTATCATCAATGTATATACCAGTTTCAGGATTGCTATTTATATAATTTCGTGCTTTTGTCATTTGATTTATGTTTTGTAATCTGTTGGTATTATTTTATTATTTTTTATTATGGAATGGTATGGAAGGGTCTTGATAAAACGCACGTTCTCGACAATGGTTCACTATAAATTGCAAAATACGCTTCTTGGGCGTATTTGAAACGCACGATAACAATACTTTTAAGCTCAGATATGATAAAATTGAAACCCAAAATTACGTGTTCAAAGGTGTGTTCAAAGGAAAATTCTCGGAGAAAACAGCAATTTCTGTTATTTTAAAAGTAAAGGGTCAACGTTTAACTCATTAGCCACCGCACTACATTATAAAACCATTAAGTGCTTGGGCGGTTTCGAGCAGTAGGCCTGTACAGGGAGAACATTAGGCAGGACGGTTTGGGGCGGTACAGTAAAACCAAGAGCTGTCAAGAACGACCAAAAGCTTTGGGCATCCTATGTTCTAAATGTAAATTGTTGTTACCTACGACACCAAAAGTACGGTCCGAAAGAAAGAGCAAGATTGTTTTTGAAATCGTACTTACCGGTTCCTCCGTTCTCCACGTAAAGAGTTGTTTCACGGGCGGGCTGGTCATCACGATTGCCGACGTCATATCACGGAGCACCTGCTCAAAGCTCTGAGTCGTCTTGGGGTTGAGAAGTATAGACGCTCGGCTTGTCCTGTGAGTGTTACTGATAATCAGTACCATCCTGGGCTTAGCGTGCCCGACATACGACGTCTCGATCGCCAGGATGGAGTTGACGTTGGGGTTGTGCGGGACGTATTGCGCCAGGGTCGGCAGCGGCTCCCGCTCGCCCGCGATCTGATCCACCGTCTCGTGCCAGCGTCTGGACGGCTCGTTCTGGTAGAGCTCACGGTCCGCACCGCGGACACCTTCGCTGGGTTTCTGGTTCAACCAGGGCCGATCGGCGTGCTGGGCCCTCCCGTACGGGATGTTCTTGGCGAATTGCCCACTGGCGCAGACGTAAGCCCTGCCGTCCACAAGCTCCGCGATGCTTGTGATCTGATCTCCTCCGAGCGAGTACACGTACCGCACGCCGTAAGGCAGGTGGATCTTCTCCGCCAGATACTTCAGCAGCGTGTCCCACAGCCGGAAATTGCGCTGGTTGACCGGCAAGGTCACCCCCTTGAAGTGCTTGTCCCCGTTCCGGTAAAACGTCACCACTTTGGTGGTGAAGCGGCCCTCGTGGGGCGCGGGCTTGGGCGGGGCCGGGGGCTCGTAACGGATCATGGTGTCCACATTGTACCGCGGGAGAGAGGCGGGAACATCGAGCTCCTCCAGGCGGCGATAGTCGTCTTCTAAGCCCGTCCGGAGATCCGGTAAAGGCCCTCTATGATGGTCATCATATTCCCCTTCTGAGCGCTGCAAAGGAGAAACAAATAATATTATTAATTGAAGTCGGTTTAAAGAGCCAGGCTGGGGATGAAAACTGCAAACATTGAGATGTGAGGCCTAATTTAAACCATTTTGCTCAGTGATTCAATCAATAGTTTCCACAAGGTGCTTAGTAAACATTCACCGTGTTTTACTCTTTTACTGGGGTAAGGATACGGCTGTATGATCCCTGCAGATATATCGTGTGACAAACCTGTACAGTTTGCACGCACGACAAGTATAGGGCACAATACAGGTGGATTGCATACCGCCTTAGGGCAGCCTATGATGCTTTTTATGTGCCCATAGAACGTTGTTTTGTCTGGCTATGCTACCTACATTCATCTCCCTTTCTCCAGTCTTTTTCACTTTCAAAAATCGACCTGGATCAATCGAAACGTTCGATTTGAGCGTTGGCCTTCGTCTCTTGTTGTCTTTTCTCTTTCACGCATCAATTCTTCTTCGCAGTCTCCGTGGTTGCTTTTACTGTCATCATGTGTAAACCCTATGCCGATCGAAGTGTGCATGTACCTGTATCATTGGCCGTAATATATTGTCTGCACTGCTCATATATCATCTAACATCTAGAACCTTGGTCTTTCTCACCTCCCCCCCCCCCTCCTCCCCCTCCTCCCCTCCTCCCCCGAGGTTAAGATATCAACATAAGGTTAAGATATCAACAATTACTTTAAAAAATTATATTCATACATTTATATTTCATAAGAGTAGCAGTAAGTTGCACCGGGAGGTGATTGAAAGTTCTACCGGGCGGGGATTGAAAGTGTCTTGCCACAGTCAGTAATAGTTTGGTGGGGCAATGCCACTGCCGGATCGTTTGTACTGTAAGATTACTGGATGCCAACCCCCATCACTTGATGATTTGTATCACTCTCGAGCTAAGAAAAGGGCTCTCTCTACAGGGTGAGTAAAAAAAACTTCAGAAACCCAAATGTCGGGACTATTGTTTTAGTGAAGTTCTGCATTTAGCACTTTCAGAATATAGGATATGAAAGCCCAATTCATAAGCTTTCTTTTGGTACAGAAATCATTCAAATCACTGATGTACTTTTCAAGTTACGGAATTTTAAACACAACAACCGGTTTAAAGTTCTGTCTACGGATCACAAAAATTCAGACAATTGACACACATCCCCATGTGATTTGTTTTCGTTTTGCTGAAAGAACACTAACCTTTTGTGATCCGTGGACGGAACTTTAAAACGGTGGTTGCGTTTAAAATTCCGTAACGTGAAAAGTACATTAGTGATTTGAATGATTCTTGTACTACAAGAAGGTTTATGAATTGGGCTTTCATATCCTAGATTTTGAAAGTGCTACATGCAGAACTTCACTAAAACCATGGTCCCGAGATTTGGGTTTCGGTTTTTTGACTCACTCTCTATTGTAGATGACATGTTCCATCCGGCACACGACTCCTTTTAACCCATGTGATCAAAGAACTGATATCGAAGAAAATTAAATCTGGCTCAAATCGTACTGCACGATAATTTTTTGTCAAAATTCGCTCACTTGAAAACATCTGTGAGAAAAGTTTGCTGACTGGCAATACTGCCGTGTATATATACTGATGCAATAGCAAATCACCAAAGAACACAACATTTACGACAGCAAAATATCCAATATTCTGGTAAGTTTTGGTGCTGAAATACATTGAGGTTTCTGCCTGAAATGGCATCGCACTTTCGCTCACGAATATGGAAGTTCGCATTGACATAAAAACCAAAAAAGGCACCAAAATACCCTTAAAAATGGCAAAACTAAAAAATGAAAATAAGGTTGATACAAAGGTACAATTTTATAAGGACTGCGTTAACAAATACATTGCAATTACATTCAGTGATAATGAATGTACATACTGTCTGCTCATGTGTTACACAAAGGAAAGAAGACCTGTCCCCAGAATTGACGTTAGATGGTTCCATAAGGGTGCATGCAGACCAGTTAATCGGTCCGAAATTGCCTACGCCGGCCAAATCACGATTTGCATGCCCTCAAATTCTTCCGTATTAGAGCATTTTGAAGGCCGTGAACTTGATGATTTGTAAAAAAAAAAAAAGAAGATTGTAAGCCGTGCAGAGGACTGCGAGCTCGTATTTCTGTGAAATGTGGATGATGATTAGTTCTTAAAATGGCTCTATTTTGCAATGCAGCGTAGGCGTCCATTTTCAAAATGGCGATGGGCTTTAGGATTGCTTTTAGGGGTGATCATGTTTGGATGGATTTTCTCCCAAAAGTCATTGGTTCACTTCCGGAAAATTGAACAGAAAATGAAAGATGATGAAATAAGCTTTAATTTTGTTGTAGGCCTACGTCTTGAACACCTCAGAGAGTTCTGAGTATTTTTCCTGAATTTCTGAATTGGGGGCATTTATCATTGGGGTCTAAGTACATTTATTACTGGTCTGCAACCATAATCATGACACAGGGCTCGGGCTCATTATTATGTGAAACGTGCTGCGCATTTTATTTTTCATGAATGATGCACCGGGGCTATCCGTTTGCCATTATCATTTCATGTCCCCGCTGAAACCATTTACGTCTATATTTACTCCCGTATATACCCGGCAGTCATGTATCACCATATCTGCTCCCGCTCGTGTCACACGTTACTGACCTTCGAACAAGAACCCATGGGTACTTAAATTGATCACGTGACATCAGTGTATAAGAAAAGGTCATGCTTATCGTTCTACCGAAAGGACGCCGGCACTTTGGCGCTAATGCATGTCGAGTGGCAGCTCACTGAAATAAAAGACTTCTCATTAGATTCACGTATTAATACACTAGACGCCACTTGGCAGTGTCACACGCACTTGAACTCATCCTGTCGCGTTTTGTGAAGTCGACTACGACAATATTCTTACTTGCAGTGGTACGTGATATCGGAAATAGAAAAAAAAAACTTCTTTGAAATTGAATAAGTTTTTGTCAATATTGTGTGTTTGCTTATTTTAATCATGCATTTAAATGTAGGAATGAAACTCGCTGCTCGTAAAATGGTTTATTTCACCGGATATGAATTATAATTTGCTACACGAGCCAGTACGCCATGTGTCAATCACGTCAGCGATCAAATAATTATGATATTTTCCCAATGAATCTGAAAATATTAAGTAAAGACTCTTTTTCATATTGATGTCAAAAGGATATTTGCCATACACGTTTCGGATATTCCTCGATACGTTAATTACCTAAATTCAAAGACTATTTTTTTCTCTCAAATGCTTTAGTTTGAAATTATGAGTTGATGGTCATAGCTATACTGTATAGGAACAACATGCTATATGTGAACCCGGACAAAGTATAGCAGAATTTGTGTTAGCAAAACTTAAGGGAATATGAAGTCATTTTGGGGTGAAACTAACTATTTCGAGATTTTGAGATTGTCTAAACCAACCTCCTAAAATATGAATATAATCAATCGAGCAGAATTGTGTTTTGTGATCAATTTTTTTGGGGGGTGTATAGAAATTTATAAACCCCCTTCCCCCCCCCCCAAAAAAAAAGAGTAAAAAAAACACATTTCAATACGCGTGTTTATGTTGTATAAATAGGTTTTAAGGGTTTTATCACTTAATCCTTCTCCCAGGGGTGATAGAGTCATGGTACCTTTATGAAAAGCACACATCATTTTGAAGCTTAAACCTCAGGGATTTGAAAATACCTAAGCCAACAAAAACAAACTTGACTTTGTCCTCGTCACCTTGTCCGGGTTTTGTGGGAGCAGTTTACACATTGCTATACATTTAGGCCTATTGATATACTATTTTGAGTTTTAGGTCTTTGCATCGACATTGGGCTCATTCATACTCCGAAGACTTGGGATTGTAAAAAATAAAGAATGAAGAAATCAGTGGCGTATCTAGCTTTTGATGTCAGGGGCACAACCGCACTCGTACATCCCCGCCGAAAATGTAGACATATTTTTTTTTCTCCGGACACTTGGCCTCTGTAAAATATGCATACTGGAAAAAAATGTGCATTTTCACGGCACATTGTAATGGTTTTGGAGCTTGGTTTTCTTTCTTTTTCATGTCTGAACTCTCTAACCATTTATGGAAATATAGTGACTGACAAAATTGTCTTTCAAAAAGAATCCAGCGGGGGGGGGCACGGTGCCCCCTGCCCCCCCCCCCCCCCCCCCCCCGATACGCCACTTGAAGAAATATATCACGATTATCTTTTCCACCTCAATATTTGAAAATGTAATAAGCTCAAACAGGCTATGTTTACCCTTTCCCTTTAATTTGCGGCGCAATGCATCACAAGAAGGGTCCCGAAAACCCTTTTTGACATGAATGTTTACTATATATAGCACATTCATATTACTTTGTTCTTTCAAAAGGGTTTTTTTATGTACCGCGCATGAATTCGTAAGTATAACTGGGCTTACTGATGCGGTCAGGAATAATCTGACGCTTTGTGGAGTTACAAATGTTGTGCCTGTTGCCAGGGGAAAGAGCTTAAAAATAGAATATTCAACAAGGTTTGCCTTTGGATGCTTTTTTCAATGTCGACAGAGAGCTTATTTTGCTTCACGTCATTCTGGGCCAGGGTTGGCGAATTTTTTATATTTAAAAAAAAAATCCAAAAAAAAATTCGGATTTAGGCCTAGGCCTATTTGATTTAAATCAGATTTTTTTAAATTTAAATCAGATTTTTTTTATTTTTTAACTTTCAAATTATTGATTTGTCTAAAAATGTTTCTAAATCGCCCCATCCACCCTTACACCCATCACTAAGGAGTTTACAGGTTCCTATAGTAACCATCATCCACAAACCTCAATCAATTGATAAATGCTTTTGAAAAAAATTGTATTGAATCAGTGATTAAAAAAAATCACTTGATTTCTTCTGTAGTGTACATGCATGTACATCATTGGTTCAATCAATGGTACATTAATACTGAAGACACTTTAAAGGTGCATAGCTTGATTGATACAGCGGAGATACGTTGGGTGTGGATA